TGAATCGAGTCTACTCTTCCCTTGACCAGTTCCATGATAAGGAGAGGTAGAGAAGATAAATAACCCTTGAAAACACTATGTTTTTGCTCTGTTTCCATTTTGTTGCAGCAGGACAAAACCCAAAACAGTGGCCGACCGGCTATCCTTCCATTCATCCAACCACTTTCCAAGGCCAGTCGGCCACTTCATTTTAGGTAGGCAATGTCATTTTCATGACAGAACAGAGCAGAAGCTGAGGCAAAAACAGATTAATTTTCTGACTGCAAGCAGAATAGAATCTGGCAGCAAAACAAAGGAGTTTTCCAAGAGGATGTTCTCGGTTGCACGTGTGGTTCTTCGACTCTCGTTCACATTCATTAGCTTGTAGCTCTTAGATTAATTAGTGTGTTGTAGCTAGTTAATTAAACTCCTTCGAATTTGAAATAATTAGTTTAATTTAGCATATTCATTTATTTGGTGTTTGTAATATTTAGCTAAATTAGGACATTTATTTAGACCCTTCTGTGTGAGGGCCAATATGTAATAATTTGTGTATATCTTCCAACTCTCATTTCTTTCTCCTTTTTATTTATCCGCTTATCGTGGTTATATAGTATCATATTTTCCTTAGCATTTCCTATGACTCGTATCCATTCGTTTAACATACGTAAGGGTTCGGCTCATCATACTAATCAATGTCAATTTCAAATTCCTTACTCAAATACGTGCTCTATCATATGTCTCGAATTGCCTCGCATGCTAGTAGCCGAGTCTATTAATTGCATGTCGTATGCGTTGCATTAGTCATGTTGTATTGTTTAAAGATAATGCATTTTTTCTAACTATTTTTTTCCTTTTAGCTCGCCTCAAATATTTAGAGTAAGCATTTTTTGCTTTAGCATATTGCATACGTGTGATTGTTGCCATATCAAACATGTTTACCATGAGGCTAAGTGCTTAGTTGATATACCTCTTGAATGCCGATGGATAAAGGCTTTTTCGCTTAAGTTGGGATGATTTGTTTAATGTTCATGTGATCTTACTTTTTCAAAGTAGCACATATTCACAACTCTTTTCAAAACAAACATGAAATCAAAGCATTCCAAAGTGGACGAATTAGTCTATATTTGTGTGCATCACATAGTAAAGATAGTATAATAATTGGAACAAGAGCATGTACTGTACGTAAGAATCACATCATAATTAGTAGAGACCGATCTTTAATCGGGTGAGTAGGGTGCTCAATTCATGACATTTCCCTCTCATACCTAAGTTCCAGAGCTGAGACATTCTGGCTATGACGAACAAGTAACCTTTGGCATTAGTCACGAGTTTCCTAAATTTTTCAACTTTGAAATTTGGTAATGCGGTCTATTTTTGGCATTTTTTGATTCAAAATCTATTTTTCAAAGATTTGTCAGATTTGGACTCTTTTGTGTTTTTACTGTTTTCCATTGCACTTGTGAAATCAAATTCAGAATCACGAGAGTTCTAACTGTAGGGCTATCGTATCTGAGGAGACTAAGCTCCTCTAAGGAGTACGAAAAACAAGCTACACAATCACATTACATAGAGAAAATACTTGATAAATTCGGCAAAAATGATGATCATCTTGCTAGAACACCTGTGGATGTTAATTTGTTTCTTTCCAAAAATGTACAGGAAAGTATTTATCAATTAGAGTATACCCAAATTATTGGAAGCTTAATGTACTTGATGAACTACACTCGCTCAGATATAGCATATGCAGTAAAGAAATTAAATAGATATACGAGTAATCCAAGAGTAGAACACTAGAAATCTATTATAAGGGTTCTAAGATATCTCTGATTTACTCGTAATATTGGGCTAAATTATATTAGATATCTAGCAATATTTGAAGGATATTGTGATGCAAACTGGATATCGGATACTAGAGACTCAAAATCTACCAATGGATATGTCTTTACTTTTGGTAGGGCAACTGTATCTTGGAAATCTTCCAAACAGACTAGCATTACTAGGTCTATTATGGAATCAGAATTTATAGCTTTAGATAAAGCTGGAGAAGAAGCAGAATGGCTTCATCACTTCTTTAAAGATATTCCAACGTAGCCAAAACCGATGCTTGCCATATGCATATATTGTAATAGTCAATCAGCAATAGGTACAACACAGAGTCATATGTATAACGGTAAGTTGCGACACATTCGTCGTTGACATAACACTGTGAGACAACTACTCTCTAATGGAGCTATTTCCATTGAATACGTGAAGTCTAAAGACAACATAGCTAATCCACTAACCAAAGGGTTAGCAAGAGAGTTAGTTGAGAATTCATCAAGGGAAGTAAGACTTAAGCCTATTAAATAAGAGTTACAACAACGGTAACCCAACCTAGTTGACTGGAGATCCCAAAATTTAGGTTCAAAAAGACAACCAAGTTGTGTATGACTCATAAAGATCACTGGAGAGTCAAACTTTTACCCATTTCTATGATGAAATAGTGATGTCTGTAGCGTATTGGGTTAAGTAATACTTTTAATGATTCTTATATCTAGGAATATCTAGTAGAGTATGGCATGATACTTTCATAAGAATTACCTATATGAGTGTGAGCTGGACCAATTCTATAGGATTTGTGAAGGGCTACAATTTTTTAAAGCACTCATGAAAGATCAGGTTGTTCAATGCCAAAATGAACACAATAGTGAGAACTAAACTGTGTCTGGTAATATACTGTGTAAGTTCTATTGTCTTAGTATACAAATGGCTGAACAGTTCAAGACATCAAGTTCACTGGTTAACTAGTAAATCTGATAGTGTCTCACAAGGAAAGGTTCAAAGCCAAAAGCTACCTATCCTTTGTAGAATATCTCCGATTTATCTACTCTCTGTAATAAGATCATGTTGTTGCATTTTCTCTCCATCAAATTCTATTCATGTGGGGGATTGTTGGAAAGTATGGTTTTTATAGGTTTTTTTTTTTTTTTGGGCTAACTTTGAGCCCAAATTTGAGTGGGGCCCACACGACTTTTGGGGTGGGTCCAAAGAGATAACGTGTTCATTGCCACATGGCAAGTCACATGGTGCAAACAGTTTGTCAAAATTATTTATGAGTGAATGGGAAGTTGACGTCGTTTTCGGGTTCATGGAATGAGAAGTTGAAGAGTTAAATGTGAGTTTCCTTAAATTGGTTGTCCCCACATTGAAACTTTAAGAGAGCTTTTGTGAGTATATAAGCTCTAGGTGGACAAACTTAGGTTGGATCCCAAGGGGCACCCCAAGTTTGTAGAAGGGAGGAGTTATGGACAAAGTGGGCTTTGGCTCAAACCACCACACACGCGCGCACGTCGCCTCCAGTTGAGCCGAGTCGTATCGTGTCGGGCCAATTGTGGGTCGAGTCCTAACATTAAATTTTTGGACAAAATTCACTTGAATTTTTTCGAATTTTCGCAGGAAAATTATTTGAATTTCTGAACGGAATTAATTTAAATTTTGCGCCAAATTTAAATTTAAATTTCCCGTCCAAACAATGCCTCTTTCGGTTCCATTTTCTAGCAGATCAAACTGTTTCAAACAGATTTGAATTCTGTATCTGTTCAGTTTGAATTTTGCCCCTGTTCAGTTTGAATTACACCTGTTCGGTTCTTTGTTAGACCTGTTCAAGTCTTCCGAAAAGGCACCAATTTGCCTATAAATTATGACCCGCTTCCAACAGTTTGTTCATTCCGAAAATTCTCTCTATTTGCCTTATGTTTTGCTCTCTTGCATATATATATTCTTCATATTAGTTATAGAAAATTTTTTGAGAATATAAAACACAGGTTTTGGTAAACAGATTATTTTTAGTGCTAATACAATCTATGTAAGATCATTGTATCCTGAGAGATAGACGCCATTATTCCGTAAGCACCTGAGCGGGGCGAATCTGTCTTAAAAATAGAGTGTCACTCGACTTAATCATTCTTGTTCTTAAGTTGTTTTGGTAAATAAATTCTGTAAGTAATTTATTTTGTTGATTTAATTTGTTTTCAAGTTATTTATTATGCACAGAAGATTGTTCCAACAATAATTACATTAAATTCATTTAAAATTTTAATTCATATAATACTTTGCCTCCGTTTGGCAAGAAAAAGCCCAGGCTTTTTTGGTTAAAATAGCCACAAAAAACAAAATAGGCTATTTTAACCACAAAAAACAAAACATCAAATCCAACTCATAATCATTACAATCCTCTCTCACAAAAAAAGCCAAAAAAGCCAAAAAGCCAAAAAGCCCTTCCCAAACCAGGCTAAAATAGCCCAGGCTAAAATAGCCAAAAAACTAAAAAGCCAAAAAGCCAACCCACTTCCCAAACGGAGGCTTTGTACCTTTTTATCAGTAATTAATTAACATGGTGGAAAAATAGTATTATCTTTCTTTTATATTGAAACATGTAATTTATCCTTGTTTATTCATAAATCTATAAACCATCTGTATTAATTTTAATAGTTTTGTCATTATTAAAAGAAAAAGTATATATATAATTATGTTAAAATTATAAAATTTTGTTTTATTTTTATAAATTTTAAAAATAATCAGTGTAATTTACCTAAAAATATAAGTTAAGATTTATATCAACAATCTATTGTAATTCCCCTGGAACGGAGTGGTGAAGAGTGCACTACTAGCCACATTTCATAAATCCAACGAACACTATATATATGTTGTATCACTCTCTCGTTTGTCTCACATTCTCTCATCACATCCTCCACAATATGGCTCTCTTGCTTTGCTTCCTTTCCCTTCATAAATCTATAAACCATCTGTATTAATTTTAATAGTTTTGTCATTATTAAAAGAAAAAGTATATATATATAATTATGTTAAAATTATAAAATTTTGTTTTATTTTTATAAATTTTAAAAATAATCAGTGTAATTTACCTAAAAATATAAGTTAAGATTTATATCAACAATCTATTGTAATTCCCCTGGAACGGAGTGGTGAAGAGTCCACTACTAGCCACATTTCATAAATCCAACGAACACTATATATATGTTGTATCACTCTCTCGTTCGTCTCACATTCTCTCATCACATCCTCCACAATATGGCTCTCTTGCTTTGCTTCCTTTCCTTTCTCATCATCTCCTCAGCAAGTTCATGTGATCGTTGTGTGCATCAAGGCAAAGTTGCCTACTTCTCCCAAGAATCTGCTCTTTCATGTGAGACTCCACATACATCTCTTCTTTTTTCTTATATATGCTTGATTTTTAGATGATTATGGATAAGACCCTTATATTTTCTGATTGAGAAAACACAAATTTGACAAAGACCCAGATCATATTTTTCCTAAACATTTAGTGGGTAATCTTTACTTTTTCAATTTGATGCAGATGGGGCTTGTGGGTATGGTTCCCTGGCTTTAGGCTTCAACAATGGGCTCCTTGCAGGTTCTGATTCCAGTCTTTACAAAAATGGAGCTGGTTGTGGTGCATGCTTTAAGGTTTGTGTTCACTTTCGCTATTAATTACCTGTGGAATTTATGATTTTGAATATTGTGGGTATATATGATTTGGCAGGTAAGATGCAAGAACCCAAGTCTGTGTACTAAACAGGGGACCCAAGTGATAGTTACTGATCTGAATCTGAGCGACCAGACAGATTTGGTTCTAAGCAGCAGGGCTTTCATGGCTATGGCCAACAAGGGCATGGAGGAAGACTTAAAGAAACTTGGGGTTGTCGACGCGGAATACAAGAGGTGTGCTTTGCAGATAAACACAAAACATAGTTGCTTTTCATAAAGTTTGTGAAGTATGTGTGTGAGATATTGGATTTGTTGCAACCACCCCCAATTAAAATAAGTATTGACCATTGATTCACTCTTAAATGTCACGGGTCCCATAACAATGACATTAATTGCGAGTAACGGTCCAGGTGTATGTTATATAAGTCTTTCAAATTTGGGGTATAGGACATAAATAAAAGATAAAATATTTATAGAATGTAATATATTTTTTTATTAATTTTAATATATTTTTTAATATTTTTATATATTTTCAAGAGAATTTTACACATTTTTCAATATTAAATAATTCTATGTTAAGATTTGCCTATATACAAACATTTAGAAAATTCTATTCATAAGTAAATTTTATACAAAAAAATTTATAAGAATAATATGACAATATCATCCTTGTAAATGAATTTTTATTTATGGATGTTTTTGTTTTAATATGAAAGGTTCACATTGGGCCACAACATTTGATATATAATAGTCCTCTATTTTTTTGATGTATTTTATAGGTGTTATTTGATAGCTTATTGTAAGTTAGAAATTGATAATCTAAAAGTAGAATTCAGAAGCATCATTCACCAAACTTTCAAAAATCAATGTTTTCAATTTATTTAAATTATTTTTGCTTAATAAAAATAAGCAAAAGTTGTATTAAATAGTCTAATACAAATTTCAGAACAAAAAAAAATTAAAAACAATTCCAAAAAAAAAAAAAGAACATCACACAGTCCTATAGTCATGTAATGTGATAAGAATTTTGAAATATAAAAATCTCGAGGTATAATTGTTCAATTGAAGCATATTAAAAGGAAATATTAAGGCATAAGATCACGTATTGTTTCTATTTTATAAATCTTGTTAGATTCACCTAAAAGTAAAGTGATATGAAGTCTTGTTTTAAATTTTAGAAGTTTCATTATTGTATAACACATCATGTTTTAAATTTGTTTGTTTGTATAACTAAGTTTCAATCTATATTGCATGGAACAGAGTACCCTGTGTATACAAAAACCAGAATTTGGCAGTCCGAGTGGAAGAAATGACCCAACCAAATTTCTTAGCAGTTAAGTTCCTGTATCAAGGTGGACAGACAGAAATTGTAGCAGTTGATGTGGCTCAGGTAAAATTAAAACCTCCATTGTTGATCAAAATCAAGAGTTCTCACATTAACAGCAATGTCTTGATGTTGTAACTGTTATTCTTATTGCTATTTATGTATAATAAATTTGTAGGTTGGTTCACCAAATTGGACTTCCATGAGTCGAAACTATGGCGCGGTGTGGGACACAAAGAAAATACCAACCGGGGCATTGCAATTCAGAAAATTTGGGTTTGTCCGGCGGACGGCCAAAGCGAGGCTGCCGCCCGCCGGTGAAGCGGAATCTTGGAAGCCAGGGGTGATCTATGATTCTGGAGTTCAGATTAGTGATATTGCCCAGGAGGGTTGTTATCCGTGTGACGATGGAAGCTGGAAATGATGATAGTTTTCATGTTTTGACTTTTTTGTTAATAACTTGTTAGCTAGGTATGTGAAAACTATCAGTAATAGTTTTCATTTTGGAGCGCATAGACTATATATACTTTTGTAGTTCGAAAAAAAACAAGATTAGGCTAAGTATGAAACTTAGGAAAGGACTAAAACAAATATTGTTGTTAACGATCTATGTATCACACTTCTCTTTCTTCTCATTGCAATATAATTTTCCATATTTGTGAAAATGATCGAAAATAAAAAAAAAAAACAAAAACAAAAAATTAAACTCAAGATAGGGTTTGTTTGGGATGTGAGTTGGTTTTTTAATTTTTTTTTGTTTTTTGGCTATTTTAGTTTGGGACTAAAAAGTCTCGTTTGTAATGTATTTTATGGCTCTTTTGACTTTTGTGAAAAAAAATAAAATAATTATAGTTTGAATGTGACATTTTGTCTTATTTACTTTTTAACTTATTTTATCTTTTTGTGACTGTTTTAACTCCAAATCATTACGCCAAACGAATGCACAACTAAACAAATTAGTATTCACATAGTGCAGTTAAAAGAGGATGTGAACGCGTAAGAATTGTCTTCATAATTGAATCTTTTATACTGCAATTTAGGAGGTCAAGTGGCTATTAGAGCATTTTCATGGACTCTCATTATTGTCAAATGAATTAGCCATTAACAATATCAAATTTTTTTGTGGGATCCATTGGATATGTTAAAACTCTTGCTATCATTTGTTAAATTGGAGAGGCATAAGGAGAGGGAAGAGATAGCAAGTAAGGGATACTTTTTAATTTATTATTGCTACACTATTGGAGTATCCATTCACTTTCTAAGCTAATTTACACTAGACACAAAATTCGGTGTCTGTTTTGTTTTGTTTTGTTTTTTTTTCTTTCTTTCTTGTAGTCAATTAAGTACTTTAACAAACAAATTTAGTCATCTCATTAGAAATACTCTGAACATATTGTCATCTTTTAATTTCGAGAGTCACAATGACACAGGATTTGAACATTGTGAAATTAAATTAATTGTTACCTAATTTACGCATTACACTCATCTAAAGATTAAACATTGAATATAATGATAATATCACGTAACAATATCCTAATACTCTAATAGTGTCATTTCAAAGAAGATATAATTCAATTAAAGTTTGATGGGTTATCGGCTCAATTGAAGTTTGTTAAAACAAGCTAATTTATTTTTTAACAAACTTATAGCAATAAAATTCTAAAAACATGGCTGGGCTTACAACCCTAAAGAATTACAGTACTTGTGTTCTGCTAGGTCTTAATAGGGCCATAAGCTTTTGCTGGTCAACAAATTGGGCCTTAACCCTATAGGTTTAAAAATATAGAAATAGGGCTGGGATTGACTCTAATGGAGGTTTTTAATAAATTGAAAATTTATTTGAAAAAAAAAATGAATTATAACACAAATTTAAAAGTGCATCATAGGCTTAAAGGGCTGGGCTTCGGGCTGAATTATGGGTAACCCATTGGGAGGAGAAACAGGCCAGGCAACAGGCCCAATCTTTTGGCCGAAGCCCAACCCACATATTTTAGGGTCAGGTTGAATTGTGGGCTTTTCCTCTTTGATGAGGCCTCAATGCATTATTGAAAGGGCTTATTACTAGCCGGTCTTGTTTTGGAAAAATAGTTAAAAATTAGTTTTTTGATTTTTATTAAAAAAAATGTGTAAAAAATATTAGAGATAATATGACCCAAAATAGATTAAAAGTTGATTTTTAACTTTTAATTAGCTTCCCAAATCAACTTACCCATTAGGGCCTGGAGACTTTTTATATGCACCAGTAAGTTCTTAAATGCCTTTAATATCCTCATTAAATATTTTATTCATCTTCTCTTATCTCTCTATAATTTTCTAGATTTCTCTCTCTCTCTCTCTCTCTCACAATTTTTCTTTACAATCTGAGAACTTCTCCAACTCTCTATAAAATTTAAGAACTTTACTCCATCTTGCACTGCCGCTACCATCACCACCGTGCACCACCACCGCAACTACCGTGCACTACCACCTCAGCTGTTATTCACTACACCACCGCTGTCGTCTACCACCTTCACCAACTACTTCCACCGTTGTTGATATACACTCTTCCATCTCTGTTCTATACTCTACCATCTCTAATATATACTCCACCGCCACCGATTTACCATTACCATTCATCAACCACCTCCACTATCACTAACCTAGACTCTATTTTCTCGATCTATGTTTCACCATCGCTGATCTACATCCTATCATCTCTGATCTACACGCCACCATCAATGAGAATCTTGCCGGAATTTGAAAAATATTTCCAATCAAAGAGACATTTTTTTGGTTTTGTTTGGATTTAGTTTAATTTTTAGCATTTTTTTTTTTTTTGGATTTTTCAAATCTCGCCCTTATTCCCTTACAGATCTATCAACTTCATAAACTAATGTTTGAAGAATTCTGCCAGTGATAAATTTACCACTGCTAATCATAATTAGTGATAAATAATTAGCAATGATAAATTTATCACTGCTATGTTTGGTAAAAATTATTATTGAATATATCTTTAATTTTTTGTTGATCTTGTTCATTTTTTTCTCAGTGATAAATTTATCAATCTCTATTGTTTCCTGTGTGTGTAAGAGAGGATGGTTGATTCTTGTAACTAAATGAGTGAATTTAAGTAAAAGTGAATGAATCAAATTTATTTGTAATTTTTTTAAAAATCAATCAGTGATAAATTTATTACTGAATGTATTTGTAATAAATTTATTAGGTTAGTCTACGTTATATATGTCTATGTAATTATATTTTTGTGAGTAAATAAGTATATAAATAAATTATAGTGAGTGTGCTCGCGCTCGCGCTCGTAAATATGAATGAGTGATTGAGTGGTGGAGGTGATGGCAATAGTAATGTATTGGTGATAGATATTATTTTGGTTGAAACAATTCAAAAAAATGTCGTCCAAAATTATTGCCGGAGGTTGTTGTTGGCGCCTGAGGTGATCGGTGGTGGTTCTGGCGCAGGAGGAAAGTGTTGATAATAGGAATGAATAAAGTAAAGGAAATGATATTTTAAGGATATTGATAAGTGAAAAAATAAGAAGGACTTATAGGTAAATAAGTCTTCTCAATAGGACTTATTGAAATTAACATAGGGACAATTACAAAAAAAAGAACTCCTGTGTTTTGACCCTTATAATAAAATAAAATAAAATTTTAAATTTTATCAATTTAAATTTAAATTTTTTGATTTATTTTTAATCTAAATTATTTACTTATTTTCATTAACTAAAAACGATGAAAACTAGTATTTTAGTTATTAAATTTAATATAGGTATATATAAAATGTCTAAAATATTCATTTTTATTAAATTTAATGACTAAAAATACTTAACTTTTCGTCAATTTTATATAATCAAAATAGACAAATAATTCAAATCGAAAACAAATAAAAAATTTAAGGTTTAAATTATCAAAAAGTTCCACATGTTCAGCGTCTTGGCAACAAGATGGTTCATGGGTTGGTGCGGATGGCAATAGATACTTCTGAGATGGATGTATGGATGGAAGAGGTACCGCCTAATTTGATTTCGATACTGATTTCTGAATCTGTGTAACCTGCCTTTGGCTTTATCCAATCTAAAAAAATATATATTTAACAAAATTATTTGTTAAAAAAGTACAACAGTAATTTTTTTATTTTTTTGATGATAATTTTCCCAAGAAAGTATTACTTGCAAACTTTCCTTACAAATTAAGGGGATATATGTTATTAAATGACTCCTTTTTAAATCATTGATATATTGACTCTTTTTTATTATTATTATTATTATTAAAAAAAAAGTAGAATTTTTTTTTACATATGATGAATGTGCATATGATTAATGTACGTAGAAACAAACAACAAAAAGGAAAGTGTTGTGGGAGTGTTGAGAAGATTCTAGGAAATTGCGTGGAATGCTCTACTTGCGAGAGCAACTCTTTTGAGTGCGAGTTTGAAAGGAGATACTAGTAAATATATGGAAGTAGAGTCCAGTCCAAAGGGACATTAACTAATTACTAGCTGCAAATAACTAGAAATGTTAGAGGTTTGGCCACTTTTAATTGATAATTTCGTTTTTCCTATTGAGTCTTTTATTACTTGTCTGTTTCCTTTACATTTGAAGGATCATTGTTATATTATGTAATAATTGTTGGTGTTGAACTTATGAATATGTATTGTTAGAATTTTTAAGAGAAAATTACAATTGAAGATATGGGTTCCAAAAAAATTAGCAAAATATGAAGGGTATAACTCACAAAGAGGAGGGGTGCCACTCAAAAACAAGGAGAGTTGCACTCTGTTTGTTTGTGTAATTTTTTTTTTTTTTTTGTCTGTTCCACTAAACTGTAATTCTCCTATTTTCTAAAGACTCTGTTGTCCAATTTGGCATAATTGTCTTGATATCTAATTTTTTTCCTATCAATTTTTTAAAAAAGGTAAATGAATAATTGGTCATCCATCTCCTCAAGGAAAGAGAGGTCACTTAAAACTTTGTGGAGTCTGGGGGGAAGACTTCCAAGTCAAATTGTACATGGAAGTCATGAAATCTCTATTCGATTCGACATATTGTGATGTAGAAGAAGAATACAAAAAATGCAGATACTCTCAGTTTAGTGGTGTAATATTTGAATTCAAATCTTCTCGAATATAATATTCTGTTTCTCAAATTTTCTCATTTTCATTTGAAAATAAATATTTAAAAAAAAAATCCGCTACCGATTCATATAATTCATTTCATTTAAACATACAATAATGTATTGGCCACTTGCTATATCCTATTATCCTCAAGATTAACTTAAAATTTGTCCATTGTAGTTAACTCGAGCAGGTTGAATCACTCTATTATTTTGCCTTAATTGCCTTAAAATTGTTTGATAATTGTGGCAAATTGGTGTAAGGAAAAAAAGAATGCAAAGAAGAGGAAAATAGAAATAATTGAAGCTTATAAAATTTAGAAAATCCTTGGCTAACAACAAGAAAGCTTGGCAAATATTTAGACCTTACACACGACTTGAGACCAAGTCATGGTCCAAAAATTGGACTCTTCTAAACTACGGTGAAACTTAAGAGTTGGCTTTATTAACACTTTGCTTATTTTGACAATATAAAAATTATAAAAAATATTATTTAGTGCAAGTTTTTTATAGAAACTATTTTTTGTCCAAACTGTTGGCTAAATTGTGTAATTAACTAAGATAAATAGATTTATGATTA